CCCCCCACACACACACATTTACTTACACAGCTCCCCACCCCGGCGAGCCCTAGGAACAGGGAAATTAGGATTCAAACAGCGGGGTGAGAACGATCGTAGACCCCGTAGACCAGGCCCAACCAACCCGCAGAGATCTCCGGGGGAGGGGGGTGGGCTTGGCGCCGACAACCACATTTCCCCTTGTCCAGGCGTTGGTCGTGTCTCGTTTAAGAATGCCGGCATACTATTTCACGTGCTAGTCCCCGGCATTCAAAACCCGGCCGCAGCCTTAAAAAGCCCAAATCGAGCCCTGAGAAAAGGGAGAGGCGTGATGGGACACCTTGAGAAAAGGAGAAGCCTCCGGGGACTTCTACATGGCCTGTAAGGCCTCGGGAGCTCCCACGCCGGCGAGTGTTAACAAGGAAGCAGGATCATTTTTCTCTCCCCCCGTCATACCTTTCCCGGACCATCTTCATAGTGCGTACGGCGAACGGCCGAGGTAGCGAAGCGGCGGACGCTGGCACCCAACATGACCCCGCGAAGACGAGCTTAAAGCTGAAACGAAGCCTCTCACACGACCTTCAACAGATGCGCCACAACCCAGCTCCGCGATATTATGCGAGAAACTACGGTGGCCGAAGGAACATAGCTGGTGAAGCATCATGGGAGCTGTAGTTTCTTTCTTGGTTACTAAACCGGCAATGTGGGATCGTTCAAGGCATGCCTGACAGATCAGGCTTGAGAAATAGCGACGAAAGGAGTTACTTTGCGCACACACTAATATGTAGGCTTTCCTGCGAGAACGGAGGATCCCAGTCTTAATTTAAGCAATGTTTGGAATCGTTTGTATTAACTGGGTTTCAGTTGTATATAGAGTTACTACTTTTGAGTGTTTCAGAGGTCTTAATAGGGTTGCCATCTCTGGGCTGGGAAATATAGCTGGAGATTTTGAGGGTGGAGCCTGGGGAGGGCAGGGTTTGGGGGAGAGACCTCAGCAGGGTACATAATGCCATAGAGTCCACTGTCCAAGGCAGCTATTTTCTTCGGATTGCCAGCTCTGGGTTGGGAAATACCTGGAGATTTGGGGGGTGGGACCTGGGCAGGGCAGGGGAGGGGAGGGACTTCAGCAGCATACAATACCATAGAGTCCACTCTCCAAAGCAGCCATGTCCTCCATGGGAACTGATCTGTATTGTCTGGAGATCAGTTGTAATAGCAGGAGATCTCCAGACCTCACCTGGAGACTGGCAACCCTACTTTTATCCAGGTGAAGTGATCTCTGTATTCTGGGGATCAACTGTAATAGGAGCTCTCCAGGTAGGGTTGCTACCTCCCTCCTGGCAACCAGCAGGAGATGGGGGGCGGGCTTACCTGCAGAAAGAAAAGCCCAGGCCTTGTAGCCAGTGTCACACAGGAGTGACATCATCCTACCAGCAAATAGTTGACGCTCTGGTATTTGGGCAAAAACTCTTATGGAAAAACTGGCTTCTACCATACAGGTTTTGCCCAAATATCAGAGTGTCGCCTGGATGTTACTGGTGTGATGATGTCACTTCCTGTGCAATGCCAGCAAAAAGGCCTAGATCTTTCTTTTCAGGTAAGTCTCCTTGCCGGTGAGCTGATCAGCAGCTGGAGGGCAGGGCAGTCCCTCAGCGGCAAAGTTAGGGGAAGCCCCAACCTGCCTCTTGCTGGGAGACGTGAGGCTTGGTGGATGGGTGGTCCTGTCCCTCACTGTGTTGAGGCCTGGCCATGCAGCCTCTCCAGCATGAGGCAGGCCCATCTCTTGCAACAGTGACACTGGGCCAGACAACACCATCCCATCCCTTGCTGGGAAAGTTGAGAACAGGTGGGGCAGCCCTTTCGTTTACCTCACCATAGTGATACCAGGTGGAAAGGCCACTTCCCAAGGCAAGGCCAGCTGGGGCAGCCTCATCCCATCCCTTGCCAGGCAAACTGAGGCCATAGAGGGCAGCCCCATTACTCATTGCAGAGAGGCTGTGTGATCCCTTCCCTTGCCCGAACATCTAGCCACTAGGAGGCTGAAGTTGGTTCCTTATTCCCAGTTCCTTATTCATTCCTTATTTGCATCTTATTCATGAATTCATCCAAAAACACTGAGGAGAGTTTAAAAGCTCTGAACCCCAAAATAAGATTTGGACCCCCAAACTTCATACACCCCCATGTTCAGCGAACTCTCCCCTTCAAGGGGATATATGCTGTGTCCTGGTCCAAAGCGCGGTTCTTGTGCCAGCTGCTCCAAAGTGAGGTGCCCCCAGGACTATTACACAGGCAGATACTGGGGCCAAGCTGTACCCCAAAACAATCTTTGAACCACCCCAAAGGACTCATCCCCATGCTATGGAGACTTTCCCCCACAAGATTACATACAGTGATGCCTAGTCCAAACACTGGTTCCAGAGCCACAGGCTTCCATTTCAGGTGCACACAAGAACCCTGTATTTCAAAAAAATATTTGAACAAGGAACTGGTTTGACTGTTTGCCCACTACATCCGGGAATAAGGATTGGACCACCACATGTCATACACCTTCATGTTCAGTGAACTCTCCCCTTTGAGGAGACATATGCTGTGTCCTGGTCCAACACATGGTTCTTGTGCCAGCTGCTCCAAAGTGAGGTGCCCCAGGGAAGTCACACAGGCAGACAGTGGGGCCTGGCTGCACCCCAAAACAATCTTTGGACCACCCCAACTGAAACATCCCCACGCTCTGAAGACTGTCCCCTGCAAGCTGACATACAGTGATGCCAGGTCCAAACACTGGTTCTGGCGCCACAAGCTTCTATTCGGAGTGCTTTCCAAAGGCCTGTATTTCAAAGAAGATTTGAATAGGGAAGTGCCCTCTGTACCCAAAATGAGATTTAGACCTACACACTTCATATACCCACATGTTCAGCGGACTTTCCCTTTCGAGGGAACATATACCGTGTACTGGTCCAAAGCGCGGCTCTTGTGCCAGCTTCTCCAAAGTGTAGTGCCCCAGGAAAATCACACAGGCAGACACTGGGGTCATGCTGCACCCCAAAACAATTTTTGCACTACCCCAACTGACACATCCCCACGCTCTGCAGACTGTCCCCTGCAAGATGATATACAGTGATTCCTGGTCCAAACACTGGTTCTGGCGCCACGAGCTTCTATTCGGAGTGCCTCCCAAAGGCCTGTATTTCAAAGAAGATTTGAATACGGAAGTGCCCCTTGTACCCAAAATAAAGATTGGACCACCACATGTCATACACTCCCATGTTCAGCGGACTCTCCGCTTTGAGGCAACATATACCGTGTACTGGTTCAAAGTGCAGCTCTTGTGCCAGCTGCTCCAAAGTGTGGTAACCCCCAGGACAATCACACAGGCGGACACTGGGGCCAAGCTGCATCCCAAAACAATCTTTGGACCACCCCAATAGACACATCCCCAAGGTCTGGAGACTGTCTCCTGCAAGATGACATACAGTGATGCCCAGTTCAACGACTGGTTCTGATGCCATGAGCTTCTATTCAGAGTGCCTCCCAGATGCCTGTATTTCAAAGAAGATTTGAATAAGGAAGTGCCCTATGCACCCAAAATGAGCTTTGGACTCCCACATTTCATACACCCCCATGTTCAGTGGACCCTCCTCTTCCAGGGGGAATATGCTGTGTCCGGGTCCAAACCATTGTTCTTGTGCCAGGTGCTCCAAAGTGCGGTGCCCCCAGGACAATCTCTGAGGCAGATGCTGGGGCCAGGCTGCACCCCAAAACAACCTTTTGACCACCCCAACTGACATTTCACCATGCTCTGGAGACTATCCCCTGCAAGATGACATACAGTGATGCCCGGTCCAAACACTGGTTCTGATGTCACAAGCTTCTATTCAGAGTGCCTTCCAGAGGCCTGTATTTCAAAGAAGATTTGAATAAAGGACCCTCTGTACCCAAAATGAGGTTTGGACCCCCACACTTCATACACCCATATGTTCAGCGGACTCTATAATTCAAGGGGGCATATGCTGTATCCTGGTCGAAAGCACGGTTCTTGTGCCAGGTGCTCCAAAGTGTGGTGCCCCTAGGGCAGTCACACAGGCAGACAGTGGGGCCTGGCTGAACCCCAAAACAACCTTTGGACCACCCCAGCTGACATATCACCACACTCTGAGGACTGTCCCCTGCAAAATAACATGCAGTGGTGCCCGGTCCAAACACTGGTTCCAGTGCCATGACCTTCTGTTTGGAGTGCCTCCCAGAAGATTTGAATAAGGAAAGGGGGGAACCTTTTCCACTGCGCAGAGAGCCCCCTAATCTCAAACTTCAAAATACAGCATCTAATTTACACATGTAGCCTGGTACCAGAGCTCGCAAAACACCCTGATGCCAACTTTGCTGCCGCATACCCAGACAACACAGTCACTAGACCTAACAACATCAACTATGCCATCTCAGGCTTATTCACCTGCTCATCTTCTAACATAGTATATATGTCATCAAATGTCAACAATGCCCTTCAGTTCTCTATATAGGACAAACAGGTCAAACGCTACGACAAAGGATAAATGAGACCTGAGGGTCTCTTCCCCAGCTTCCCCAGCTTCTCTTCCCCAGCCTCAGCTTCTCCAGGTCGGCAACCCTAGCCTCAAGGGAATGAACTTGCTCCCTGAGGGCCATCAGTGAGCATGCAGTTAGCACACCCCCACAATTTCCATGCAGTGGGTAGATAGTCGTACATGTGGCATTCTCTGCAAAACACTGGATTGCCCCCACTCCCCTGCTGGCTTTCTACCTTCGTAACTGGTTAGTTAAAGGTATCTAGGGCCCTGGTCACCCGGGCAGGAAAATGCGGGGGGGGGGAGCATGGCTGTTTGCCCTGGACTGAGCCAGGAGTTGGGGGGGTACGGAAAAGAGGAGGGGGCTGTGTTGTTTGTTTTTAAACGAAGTGTACGCATGCGCCGTCGGGTACTTGTGCGCATCCCGTGGAGACTTGGGGGAAAAAAACCTTCTAGCGACGGGACATGGGTGGGCGCCGGATGCCACAACCTACCACCGGAAACGCGATCAGACGCCCGCCCCTGCCCTGCGGTTTCCGGAAACTAGTACCTCAGAGGTACTGGTTTTTTACCCCGCATCTTCGGCGGGAAGCCTCGGGTTCGCCACGGGAGCTCTACGCTTCCCAGATGTGGCGCTGTGATCGCGCCTGGAAAATCCGCCTATCTTCCGTCTCTGTAGCGTGGCTAATGCTCCGTGTGACCGCAGCCTAGAGTGATGCAGGGTCCGCAGGCCTGATCCCCAGGCTAAGAGTCACAGGTCATGAGCCCTTTGACTTTCACATTTCAGGTTGCACCACAGGCTTAGACCCAAACAGACTCAGACAAGAATACCACTCTCTAGCAGGCTACAAGCTCTCACCCTCAAACTCTGTCCTGACACAAAGCAACCTCAGTGAATGCTCTCCCAGTAGTTTAGCAGTTTAGGAAAAGCAATCACCACCACCACCACCACCATTTACCTTCCCAGCATCTCTCTCCTGGGTTCTTTCTCCCAGTCCAGCTGGCTCAGTTCTGCCTCTGCCTAGGAGGAGCCGTACAGGTTTTCCTGATATTAAAAATTAGCATAT